GGCGTGGCGCATGCTGCTCACTAGACCCCCTGAGGTCCAAGACAGAGCTGGCGTGGGCACGGAGAGGGGCAAGGTCTCCCCCAGGAGTTTCAGAATCCAACTCGAACAAGCCTTCCGACAGATTCGTGTCCAAAAGAAGACCCCAGTTAGTTGGCACATCAGTGAGGCCACCGCTGTCAGAAAGAACGGGAAGCTCGGACCCCAAGGCAAGCGAGTCTACCACGTCCTGGACCCCTTAGGCAAATGCTACTACGCCGCCCAACTAGAGAGAGGAGCAGGACGACCTTGGAGGGATGAGGACTACGGCTTTGTGAAGGGACGGAGACGGGAGGGAGCAGTACTAGCCAGCTTGGTCACCCAGGACAGGCTCTCCAGGGCAGGGGCGTCCTACTCAGTAGTGATGAAGGACATGACGAACGCCTTTGCGAGTGGACACTGGACGGGAATGGATGCTGCTACACAGACACTGCTACCACAGGAGTCGCGGGAGGTCGGGGAGCAGAGGTACAGACAGTGTGCGTTCACAGTGCCATGCAGGGATCAGGAGGAGCCGACGATGATACGACCAGGATGTGGGGGCCCCATCGGAGATCCATTCATGGTTCACAATTTTGTTGCCCTGTTTCCCCCCCCCGTCGAGCAGTGGAAAACAGCATGTCTCGAGAGCCTGCCAGAGGATCACCTGCTCATGGCGCGCTGCCCGTTCTCCGAACAACCACAGTACTTAGGTCTCTTCAAATACGCGGATGATCTGCAGAAACTATTGGTCAGCACTTCAGATCAGGCTGCAGCGGACCTTTCCCAGCAAGCCAGACTGGCTGATGACATGCTCGACGAGAGACTTCAGCAGTTCGGCCTGGCTCAGAACCGCGACAAACAAGAGAACCTTGTCAGACTGCAGGGTAGGGGCACGACGGCACAGTACAGAGAGTTACGCACGAAACAACACGCACTTCCAGGACGCACGGTGCAGTCGGCCAGATACTTAGGACCACACATCAACACTGTGCACACGTACGGAGCGGAGCTACCACAAAGTATCCATGCTATGATTAGGGCATACAGGGAAATGGGAGGGTTCTGGTACAGAGCGGGGGTGCCTTTCAAGTGGAAACGGGCAGTCCTGATCTGTAAGGTTGTCAACACTGGGCTCAGTTGTATCGAGAGCTTCTTACCGACTAAGGCCGAATATAGGACTCTTACGATGACGGTCGCGGGATTAGCTCGGAGGGCCATGCGCGGCAAAGCCACCACTTACCAGCCCGACGGTACGGTTCGGAGTCTCACGAGTTATGAAGTCTTACGACACTGGCGAATCCTACCGCTACAAATGGAAGCGATCGTCAGACGCCTCACTTGGACCAAACAAATGTTACTCAACCCCTTGGCGCACCAGGAAGTACTTACAGCCATGTTCGGACAACTTGCTATGGAGCCTGGGCCGACGGTCTGCGACGACGGCACGCTCCATCCACGGTGCAATGCCTGGGCGCAAAGAATAATTAAGGACCTTGGGGAGGCTTGCCGCACGGACATGTTTGTAAGTAACTTAAATGACTTGGACATCCGACCTGGTAATTTCTTCGAGCCAGACTTCCAGGAGGCCCTCAGAGTCCTCGACCCCAAGGAGCTCCGACAGGCGTTCAGGGCCCGTACCATCCCACCCCCGGGCCCCCCTAGCCCAGGAGCCAAAGCAGCAGCAGCAGATGTAGCGGAGGAGGAGACGGTGCTAGCGGAAATTGCTCCCTGGAAATGTGAGACAGTGGACCAGCCGCATACCACCTCCGAGCGTGGCGACACTGCGCCGACGACGGCGGCTGCCGACTTGCAGGCGGGGCCAGCTGATCCAACTGGGGGTGTTCAAGATGTGATGTCAGCCAACGACCCTCGACAGAACATGATTCTCCCTGTGCGTGGTGCATGCTTCAGTACACGTAAGGCGCTTATGTCACACATGCGTAACAAACACAAACTGAGCAACGTGGCGTCCCTACTCGCTCCTACTAACGAGTGTGTGAACTGTGGCATTGTGTTCGGAGAGCGCAGTACGGCGGCTCGGCACTTGATGAGGGGGCTCCTTACAGGACGTTGCCCATCGGACAGAACTCGGACGATGCGACCGATCGAGCCTTTCGCCCCGAAATGCCAATTGTGTGGATATGCAGATAACGACAAACAACGGCTCTACGAGCACCTCCGTAGTCATTTCCCCAGAGCAGTTCTTCAGCCAGCCGCTCCGACGGGCCCCCGCGCCCGCCCGACTGCGACCCAGGCCCGACCTTAGGGCGACTCCGATCATGCCCGACGCAGCGCCAGCGGCTGGGGCAGCAGCCTCGACCGACGACTTCGAGAGGGCACCAGCGTGGGCGGGCAAGCGCACGCTCCAGGTGGACAAGGACGCGACTCGGGCGGCCCAGGAGCCCAGGACCAAGGGCAAGGGCAGCGGCCGCGACAAGGACTACGAGCGCCTCGAGGAGATGGCGGTCATGACGGCCAAGCTCTCGCTCACCGTGGCCAAGGACGTGGAGGACATGAAGGCGGTGGTCTACGAGTGCTGGGAGCTCGACGCCGACAAGCCCATGGCGGCCATCTCGACGCAGGCGGGCAAGCAGTACAACGACGACGTGCAGAAACTGAAAGAGCAGCACGCGAGCGACTCCAATGTCGACCTCGCAGCGCTGGGCCCGCCGCACCTCGTCGTCATCGCGGCGGCGATCAAGAACATCGCAGAGGTGGTCCCGCCAGACGACAAAGCCATCCTGGGAGAGTTCTGGAAGAAGGTGGTGTGCCTGGAGGATCCAGAGATGCTGGGCACGTGCGTGAAGCACTACCAGGCGAAGACGAACAAGCAGCCGAAGCAGAGCAAGGAGAAAGTGCGGCTGATCTTTTCCTTCGACTTGCACGTGCCCGACTTGCGAGCCGCGCGGGAGGTCCTGATCAAGGAGATCAAGCGGGAGGGAGGCCAGCGCAAGCTGGGGGGAGCGCCCAGAGGCCCGCTGCAGCGAGGCCTCACGAAGCTAGTCTACACGAAAAGCTGAGAGACGAGGTACCGATCCTAGAGTTGGTGCCAGATGAGGAAGACACAGCGCCTCGACGGTACCTCAGGCTGATGCCAGCAGATCTGGGCCGAGAGGCACTCTCGGCCCCGCCAGCGTTTCGTGCCAGTGCCCGCTATAGAAATCTTGTGGCAGAAGGGAGACTGCCAAGACGTGAGCCCAGCCAGCCCGCTCCTGTCCTCCGTTCCAACTTCGACTCGACTCTTCTCACTCCTCGCCCAGACCCACCACGTCCGCAGAAGGGCAAGGGTAGGGGTCGTAAAGGAAAAGCAGAACAGCAGAGCACTGTGTAGCAATTTTGACTCTCGAGTGCCCGCAGGCGGCCAGCCTGACCGCGTGCGGGAGTGGCCTGCCTGCAGGGCCAATGCGTATTTTGTGACGCTTGCGCACCTGTGCGAGTGATGGGGCTTCCCAGATAGACCCAGATGTCAGACTGATATAGTACACTCTGCAAGGTAGTGTAGCTGCAAGGTCGTGACGACACGTTGGGTCCGATTCATCAGTCAGTCAGTCCTCCTCCTCCTCCTCCTCCTCCTCCTCCTCCTGCTCCTCCACCTGCTCCTCTTCCTCCTCCGTCTCCTCGCCCTCCTCCTCCTCCTCCTCCTCCTCCTCCTCCTCCTCCTCCTCCTCCTCCTCCTCCTCCCCCTCCTCCTCCCCCCTCGCAGTCCAAACGCGGACAGCTGGGGATCAAGGATCGACGAGGCGAAGAGGGATCGCAGGATGGCGGATATCGGGGATCCAAGGATCGTAGGTGGGATGAGGAGGGACAAGGACGGACAATCTGTGGCGGAGGCGAATGAGGGATCGATGATCCCTAGACTTGGCGCACCGACAGACGAGCACTGCGACCGCGACGACGACGACGACGACCACGACGGCGACGACGGCAGCCACGACGCACGAAGTCGGCGACGGCGGCGACAACGCCGGCGGCGGCGGCGATGGGGATGGCGCGCGGGTGACCCTTCCGCGGCAGCTCCGCCCGGGGGCCAGCGCGGGCGTTGGGGCTTGAGCGTCGCTGGTGGCTTAGATTGCCAGGGCCGGCTGGCGCCGCCGACCCTGGAGGCCTCGGAGGGTGAGGGCGGGTCATGGGCCCCGCGAGGGTGGTACAGTGAGCGGCTTGAACAAGGAACACTTACTTTTCAAAAGGTGCTCGGTTCCTCAGGCTTGCATGCGTTATTTACAGTTCCTTATGCGTTATTTGTTATTTATCGTTCCTTCTGCGTTATTCCTTGGGATAAAAAAGGGGCTTCGTTCCTTATTTATCGTTCCTTAGGTCAGGCCGATGACTGTATTCTGACCTGGGACCATACCCCGGGACCCCCCCCAAGGACCCCCCCCTCCCATGGGAGGGAGAGCGCTGGCCGGGCGTTGGGGCTTGAGTGCCGCTGATGATCCTGCCGATATCGGGCGATCTGCGCCATCGGAGAAGCGCGGTCGTGTCAAGGTTGGAGCGACCCATACGGTTTTACACATCCACGCCGACGTCATCACGACATGCAATTGCTGTACGAAATCGGCTGCGTGCAGTTGGATTCATGCTGCATGCAACCGAGTTCGGCCCCGTCGCTTGCGACATGGTTCGATACCCAGACCCCCGACGTCATTTTTTCATCACGTCGACCCCGAGAGGTCTCGACCCATTCCCCGGGACCGGTTTTCCATCCTTAGTCGTTCTCTGATGGTCCCGAGGCCCGGTAAGGGCACCCCGAGGCCGCACATGACGAAGCACCTGCCGTCGTGAACTTCTCATGGCTCGAGGGGGTCTGGGTGCCCGGTCGCGCCTGGCGCGTCCAGGCGCCAGGAAGTTCAGTCGCATGCCGTCGAAATTCGCTGGCGCTCCCTCTGCTCCCCTTCCTCCTCCGTCTCCTCACCCTCCTCCTCCTCCTCCTCCTCCTCCTCCTCCTCCTCCTCCTCCCCGCTTTGCCGCCCGCCCCGGCCCAGGACCGCCTCAGCGCCCTCGAGACCAGCACGAAGGCTCGCCCACCAGGGAGCGGGGCGGGCGGGCCGCAGAGGCCACGGTTCTGCCAGGCCTCTGTGCTCCCACGGAGATGCCCTACATCTGTGCGCTTCGGTCCGACAAAGAACAATTCGCCGTACACATACAGTCGGGGCCCTGAAGAAGGAACCCTTTTGGTTGGGGAGGGGCCCCGCGTCCCTCAAGTGTTTCACAGCTTGCCTCAGGTTTTCCTTCTGTCTTCGATGGGAAATCGAAGTTCAACTTATGGAGAAAAGTGGCCTCGTTCCTTATTTAGGGTTCCTCAGGTCAACGCCCCGACTGTAAGCCCTTCGCGCTCCGCACGGATTTCTTGGATCTGCGCTGGGCCCCCCCGGCGCGGCCCCTGGCGCGGCCCCTGGCGCGGCCCCTGGCGCGGCCCCTGGCGCGGCCCGCGCGCCAGGGAGGGGGGCCCAGCGCAGATCCAAGAAATCCGCGCGGGCCGCCAACAGTTTATGTTTATGCAGTTGGATCTCGTTCTATCGGTTGTTGGACCTTTTTGGGTGTTTTCGCTAGGCTTGCAGAAGTGTCCAGCAGCCTCCAGTGACACAGGCCTCCAGGGGCTCCAGGAGACCTCCAGGGGTCTCTGCCACGAGAACCTCTGGATCTCAGACCTGTGGCGACTCGGCAAATTCGCGCCGAAGGCCTTTCGGAAGTTCGGGGAACAAGCAATGACGTAAACATGCAAGCTCTGAGCTGCGCGCATATTTCTCGGATCCGCGCTGGACCCCCTCCCAGCGGCGCGCCCCTGGCGCGATCCGCGCGCCAGGGAGGTGGATCCCGCGCCGATCCGAGAAGTTTGCGCGGAAGCTCCGAGTTTTTGTTATGCTTATGTACTTGTTTGTTCCCATATCTGGAGATTTCCAAGTCCAGGGCCCGTTCTTCAGAGGAGGGCCGTTTGAGCGTCACCGGTAGTTGGTCTTCGGGGGCCCCCTCGTCGCCACTGCTGGACGCAGCTCAGAAAATTGTTGCGCTCGGAGCCCGGGAAGGGGCCAGGCACCGATGTTGAGCCGATCTTGATTGTCCAGTGTCTCCAGTCACCCGTCTCCGAGTCCTTGAGCCCAAAAGCTCCAGGACTCCCGGACGGGGTCGGAGTGGGCGGGGTCGGCGGATCGCGCCACGGCGCCGGTGCATCGCCGATGCGTCTCGACCGGCAGCCCGATGTGTTTCTCACGCCGACGTCGCCGCTGCCTCGCCGCTGCATCGCCGCTGCATCGCCGATGCCTCGGCGGCGTTTCGCCGCTGCCTCGGCGGTGTTGGCGCGGTCCTCCGAGGGCCAGCGGTGGGAGGCCTCTGCCCGCGGCTGCCGGCAGAGGCGGGGAGTGCCTTTGTGCGCAGGGCGCGGGGGCGGCGAGATCCGGGGGAGGGGCCGGCGGCTCGGAGGCAGAGCGAGGCGTCGGAGGTGGAGGACGACGAGGAGGACGAGGAGGAGGAGGAGGACGAGGACGAGGACGACGAGGAGGACGAGGAGGAGGACGAGGAGGAGGACGAGGTGGAGGACGAGGACGCGTCGGGGGGGGTTCGAGGAGGACGGGGGCGGGGCCTCCCGGCCTCCCGGAGGGGGTCCCGAGAGCAGAGGGGGTCGGCGGAGCGCGCCACGGCGCCGAGGCATCGCCGCTGCGGCTCGTGGTGGGCCTCGGTGTGGTTCGCGTCGACGTCGTCGAGGCATCGCCGACGTCGACGATGCGTCGTCGGTGCATCGCCGAGACAGCACCGAGATGTATCGGCGATGCGGCGCGATGCTCCGACCCCATCCGGGAGGCCTCCAGCCGATGACCAGAGTCTGGACGGGAGGTTTTTGGTCCTTTTCGGCCTCGGGGCTGTCAAAAACCGAGGAGGAGGAGGAGGAGGAGGAGGAGGAGGAAGAGGAGGAGGAGGGGCAGGAGGAGGAGGAGGAGGAGGAGGGGCAGGAGGAGGAGGAGGAGGAGGGAGGAGGAGGAGGGAGGAGGAGGAGGAGGAGGAGTTGGAGGAGAGGAGGAGGAGGAGGAGGAGCTGTCAAAAAACGACTCGGGATGAAAAGTCGGCCCTGGGGAAAGGGTCGGGGCTTCTGGGGACCGCGTACTGAACAAATCAGGATGTCGCATGTCTGGGGGGGGGGGTCTTGTGAGCGGTGCAGGGGCTCTGGAGGAGCAGTAGTTTTCGGGATTGAGGGCAGGAGGAAGGGGCAGGGAGGAGGAGGAGGAGGAGGAGGAGGAGGAGGAGGAGGAGGAGGAGGAGGAGGAGGGGAGACGTCAGGGCTTTACCCAGTCCGTTCTCCTTGATACTTCGAGAGGAGGCTTGATCACTTCTAGGCCTCCTAGATGGGGTTGGAGTAGATGGGGTCGGATAGTTGCGCCGCATCGCCGATGCATCGCCGTTGTGACTCGATGTGCAGCCCGATTTGCCTCACGTCGACGTCGCCGATGCATCACCGACGTCGACGATGCATCGCCAGTGCGTTGCCGATGCGGCGCGATCCTCCGACCCCATCTACTCCGACCCCATCTGGGAGACCTCTATTATTGGATGTACGACACTGGCTATGCGACGCCCACTGCTCCGCAGCTGTTATGCTCACGTCCTTACCCACCGTTCCCTTCCCCCTTCTCCTCCTCGTCTGTCTCCTCCTCCTCCGTTTTCTCCTCCTTCTTCACTTCCTCCTCCTCCTCCTGCTCCTCCTCCTTCTCCTCCTCCTCGTCGCCCCGGGCGCCTCTCGTCTTCTTCTTATTGCTATGATCATTCGCCGTCTTCTTCCTCCTACTCCTCATCCTCTGACTCCCCCTCCTCTTCATATTCCGTCTACTGCCCATCTCCTTGTCATCCTCTTTGCCTCCGTCTCCAAGGCTGGTGCTCCATCCTGAGTATGTGTTCTGCGTCCCCAGAGCGCCAAACACAACCTCGTCGCGATTCTGTCGACATGCACACGAAATTGGACATTCCGAAGCCGGGGGGGCACCCGCGAGCTGTCACTCCGCACCGCCAGGCGGCCGCCTTCCAGTTCAAGAAGGCGGAGGGATCTCTGGACACCAGGCCCGCGGGGCGTGGAGGGAGGGCGGAGGTACTGGCACGCGCCCTGCGCGGAGGACGAGGAGGAGACGTGGGGATCGAGGTTCGAGGATTCAGTTCGGCGGCGAGCGAGGGGGGGGAAGTGAGAAGGAGAAGGCCTTCCCAGAAGGTTCGGAACCCCCCTGGCCTTCTGAGAATTGTTCTAAGCCTGCCCCGACGACAAACAGCAACGTCTCAGAAGGCGCGAGGGCTGTGAGAAATCCGGCGACATTCTGAGAAGGCCTTCTCCTTCTCATTTCCCCCCCTCTGTCGCCGCCAATAAGTGTTTCTGTGTTCTGCGAACCTCCTGGGTGGGTCTCATGTTCCTGGTCAGTACACGCAGATGTTCATGTTTCCTGGTTGCTCCCCTCAGATGTTCTCTTAGACATATATATGTATATATATATATATATGTGTGTGCTCTGGGCAATGCAGACATGGGACGGCTCTGAAAGGGGGGATCCCTGCTGACCCTTTCGCACATTTATGTGTATATATATATATATATGTATGGTCTGGCCACTACAGACATGGGACGGCTCTGAAAGGGGGGATCCCTGCTGACCCTTTGGCATATATATATATATATACATATATATATATATATATATGTGTTCTGGGCAATACAGACATGGGACGGCTCTGAAGTGCTGACCCTTTCGCATGACCGTAGGCTCTTCGCCGCTGTGCGGCGCCCAGGGGCTTTGGAGCTCCAGGGCGGGCACGCGGTACCCGCGAGGCCCAAGACCGGCCGCGGGGCGAGGGTCAAGGGCGCAAGCGCCCACGACTTGAGACCGTCACGGCGTCAGTGGCCTGGCGGGTTTCTTCGAAGGGCTTAGGCGACCCCTCCTCCTTCTCCTCCGGCTTCCTCCCCCCCTCCTCCTCCTCCTCCTCCTCCTCCTCCTCCTCCCCAAGCCTCTCCTCCTCCTCCTCCTCATCCCCTCCTCCTCCTCCTCCTTCTCCTCCATCACCTCCTCCCCCTCCCCCTCCTCCATCTCCTCCTCCCTCTGCTCCTCCTCCTCCTCCTCCTCCTCCTCCTCGGGTCGCCTACAGCCCCAGGGGAGACCGTGCACAGGGGCCTGGGGAGGAAAAGGAAGGCTCTTGAGCAGGGCGCGCGCGAAACCCGAAGAGCAGAAAGCCGCATCAACAAAAACAGAAACGTTCGGAGCTCCCCGCGGATCTCCTGGGAATCCGCGCTCGGCCCCTCCCTGGGCGGCGCCTCGTGGCGCGGCCCCCGGCGCGCCTCCGCGCGGCAGGGGGAGGGAGGGCCCAGCGCCCGTGGGCCCCCGACGGGTTAGTGTTCGTTCAGTTTTTCGTTGATTCATCGTTTTTCGACGAGTTAGGGATCATTTTTTATTCAGTTGTTCGACGAGTTAGTGATCGACGAGTTAGTGTTCATTCAGTTTTTCGACGAGTTAGTGATCGTTCTTCATTCCTTGTGTTGCCGATCGGCGCGGGCCCTCGCACCCCCCCCCTTTGCTCCCCCCTATGGAGTTGGTCTTGGCTGTTTCTGGCGCCCGTTTCGAGCGGGTGGCGTCTCCCCCATAGGACGCAGCCGCACTAAGGAGAGGTCTGGAGCCAGACCCCCCTCCTCCCCCCCCTTCCGCCCGATGTCGAAACGCCCCCAAAACTCGGACCTAGTGTTTATTTTGTTTGTTTAATTCATAAGCGGTGTTTTGGCGGTTTCGTGGGACATTTTCGTTTGGCTTTGTTCTGCTGGAGAAAGGACGGGACGAAGGCAGGACGAGGGAAAGCGAACATTGGAGCGAGAACGGAAACGCACGGTGCAGCTCTTTCCCCGCTCCAGGCTCTCGATGATGCACCTCGCGACGTCTTAGCCGACCGCTGGGTGCCCTTTTTGTTGCCCCCGCGCTGGTGCACGCGCAGCGCGACGGGAGCGGCAGACCAGGGCGCGGAGGCGCAGATCATGCGCAGGAGGCACGGGGAGGGCGAGGCGGCCTCGGAGGTGGGCGAAGTCGGGGCGCGCGCCCCGGACATGAGGCACCTCACGAGCAGTGGCGCAGAATGCCCTTTTTCAAATCGGCAGCGCCGGCGGTGGCAGGCGCGTGGGTCGTTTCCGGTGGGCTTCGCGTCGGTGGCGGCCGCGGAGGAGGGGAGGGTTCAAAAAAAGCCCGACCGCTGAGAGCCGCCGTTCGAAGATTCTCCAGTCGATGGACGGAGGACGAGGAGGAGGAGGAGGAAGAGGAGGGGGAGCATGGGGAGGGGGAGGAAGGTGAGGGGCGGAGGAGGAGGAGGAGGAGGAGGAGGAGGAGGAGGGAGCGCAGCGAGATCATCAGATCGGAAGGAGGAGGAGGAGGAGGAGGAGGAGGAGGAGGAGGAGGAGGAGGAGGGGGAGAAGGAGGAGGAGCAGGAGGAGCAGGAGGAGGGGGAGCGGCGGAGCATTTTATGCTTGAGCAGTCGCCATGGTGCTGTGGGTGCGAGCTGCTGGGAAGATCGTGATCGGACAGATGTTTCGGCGGCGGGCCCAGGAGGGAAGCGAGAGAGGGCGGCGGCCTTCTCAGAGGCTCTTGAAGGCCTCGGGTCTTCCGAGAAGCTTTCTGAGCCTGTCCCGAGGACGCAGAAATCCTGACAGAAGGCCGCTTCACCCCACCCTGAGATCCTGGCTCGGCAGATTTCTTTACAACGGACGTATTTGCCTTGTGCCGGGCCCCAGGACCTTCAGGGATCGATCTGGCTCGAAAAGCACTGCAGGAAGATGGCGTCTAGGGCTCTGGTCGTGCTTTTGTTCGCGATGCTGCACTTTGTTCGTGACGTCGGATCTCAGGGCTTGGGCTTGTTGCACGGCCGTCGCTATGGTGGCGAGCTCAGCGGCAGACGGATCAGACCAGGCCGAGGACTCAACATCCGCCTATACTGCGGCAGAGTGGTCTCCAAGCCAGGGAGGAGGGCAGAGAGCGCGGGAGACTGCCAACGTCAGGCGTGGTCGGCGCGACGATTTTGCCCACGCGAGCCGCCTGGAGCGGGTGAGGACTGCAACGTTAGCCTCGAGAGGCTCTCCTCCTCGGAGCCCCGACCCGAGGCGTTCACGTTCTGCAGAGGCCTTGTCGTGCACGTACTCGTCATCCGAAGGACCGAGGGGCTTGAGGACAGCACCAGCTTGTGATTGACGCGATCCTGCCGAGCCTGAACAGCATCGGCCCGTGCCCAGGGCGGAGTGGAGTCAGCAGAGGATTGCCGCTGGAGCTGCTGGCTGTTGCAGCTGATCCTGAGGCTCCAGCAGCTGCCTGGAGAGCACTCCCTCGCGCGCGCACACCAGGCTCCTTTGACGGCGCCGCGCGCTCGAAAGCAGAGCCCTTGGGTAGCCACCGGCCGTTGGAAGGGTGTATCTTGTACTCTAGAGCTCCGATCTGCTTGAGTTGCCTTTCTATTTCAAGTGTCGAGCGGTTTCCACTGTTCCTTCCTCTTCAGGGGGCGGGCGGAAGCCCAGTCCACCTTCCACGCCCTTCTGCTCCATGCGTCGACTTCACGTCCGTCCATCGCCGGGCAGTCCGCACCGAGAGCACACGAGAACACCATCCTCCGACCGGCAGGCCGTCCGCACGGAGAGCACCACGCGTGGTCGGCACGGCCGATCCAGGGCGTGTCGGGCCGTCCATCCCTGCACCACGCACAACGCCAGCGCTCGGCGTCCGCACGGCGCTGTCCGTGTCCCGTGGCGGTGTCTGTCTGATGAGCAGCGCCCGCGCAAGGGCCGCGCGAGCAATCGTCTTGATCTTCTACGGCCCTGCGGCCGGTACCGCCGACGCTGAAGGGGGGCGATGAAGAAGACGACGGCGATGGCGACGACGCTCGCAAGCCCTCGTGGGGGGCCCCTCCTGGGACCGCCCCTAGCGATCCCCCCCCAGGGATCCCCCCCCGCGCAAGGGCAGCGCGAGCAATCGTCGTGATTTTGCATCCGAAGGCCGCGCCGAGCGATGGGGGCGGGAACCAGAGACGCACACAAACACACACACACACACACACGCACACGCACACGCACACGCACACGCACACGCACACGCACACGCACACGCACACGCACACGCACACGCACACGCACACGCACACGCACACGCACACGCACACACGCACACGCACACGCACACGCACGCACACGCACACGCACACGCACACGCACACGCACACGCACACGCACACGCACACGCACACGCACACGCACACGCACGCACACGCACACGCACACGCACACGCACACGCACACGCACACGCACACGCACACGCACACGCACACACACACACTCACACACACGCACACACACACACGCACACGCACACGCACACGCACACGCACACACGCACACGCACACGCACACGCACACGCACACGCACACGCACACGCACACGCACACGCACGCGCACACGCACACGCACACGCACACGCACACGCACACGCACACGCACACGCACACGCACACGCACACGCGCACACGCACACGCGCACACGCGCACACACGCACACGCGCACACACGCACACGCGCACGCGCACGCGCACGCACGCACACGCACACGCACACGCACACACGCACACGCACACACACACACACACAACACACACACACACACACACACACAACACACACGCACACACGCACACACGCACACACGCACACACACAGAGACACACACACACACACACGCACACGCACACGCACACGCACACACACACACATGCGCAACGCTGCACGGGGAAAGCACAGGTGGCTGCCGCGGATCAGCGGCATGCGTTCTTCTGCTGCCGCAGGGCGCCAGAATCCTGAGCCAAAACGGTACGGAGTCCAGGAGGTGGGGGAGGAGGAGGACAGCAGCTGTACAGCGCAAGTCCGCTCAACGCAAGGAAAGGGGGGAGGAGGAGGAGGAGGAGGAGGAGGAGGAGGAGGAGGAGGAGGAGGAGGAGGAGGAGGAGGAGGACGAGGACGAGGAGGAGGAGGACGACGAGGAGGAGGAGGAGGAGGAGGAGGAGGACGACGAGGAGGAGGAGGAGGAGGCTAGGCGCAACTGCTGCACAGCTCGTGCCCGCTCGCCGCAGCAGCAGACACCGGAGGCGGGGAGGCGGGCGGGCGGTCCGCGGGAGCGGGGCCCGAGAGCGCCCCCCCGGAGGCTGGTGCACCTGGAGTCGCAGCTGCAGGACCAGGGCCAGCAGGCCAGGGCCCCGCCCCCCCCCCGCGCCTCCGCCGCGCGGGGGCCGCCCTTCGCCGCGGGAAGGAGAGGGCTCAGCACAAGCACGAGATCTGATCTGTGATCTGATCTGGTCTGTGGGGGTTCAGGCCCCCTAGGTGGGGTCGGAGGAGATGATGGGGTCGGAGGATCGCGCCGCATCGCCGATGTATCGGCGATGCGGGTCGATGTGGGGCCCGATTTTCTCCACGCCGACGTCTCGGATCTATCGCCGACGCCGACCATGCATCGCCAGATCCTCCGACCCCATCTACTCCGACCCCGTCAAGGAGGCCTCTAGGGGGGGCGGGGGGGGGGGGGCGGGGGGGGCCAGGGGACCGAGCCGATGGGCGAAACATGGAATCAAAGGACGATGGCAAAGGGGACCCCTGTCCCATCTGCTGTCTGCGACAGCTTCTTCCCAGGGTAGAAGCAGAGCAAACGCCATCAACACAAACTGATCTGTGCTGGGACCCCCTCCCAGGCGCGCGGAGCGCGCCAGGGGCTGCGCCGGAGGCGCCGCCGTGGGGGCTGAGCGCGGATTCAAGAAAACCGCGCCGAGCGCCGAACAGTTCATGCTTTGGTTTTTGTTGTCTCTTCTTCGAGCCACACCCTGAGATCCAGGGCCACGTCCGGCCTGTCGGCTTCGGGTGGTTTCGGTTTTGCTGTCGGTTCGGTTGGTGCTCGATTTTGCTGTCGCCGTGCACGCCCTTGGAGAGCCGACGCTGCGGGAACACTGCAACATCGCGAAACATCGCGACCGGGACGCGAGGACCCTACCTTTCTGCGGCATGTTCCGAGCCGGATTCGTGAGGGCCCCGGGGTTCGCAACCAGGCTAATGTCTTGGGGTCCGAGACAGGGCAACATCGCCCGCTGTGGATAACGTGTTGCGCCAGGATCTCAGGGCGGGGCGAAGCCTCGCCGCCATGTCCCCAGCACAGGACCTTTTGGCGACATGGTGGTCGAAGAGGAGTCAGCAGAGCAGAGCTGAGGGGATGGACGGAGCGATCTGTCCGTGATGGCCCCGGGGCCCCTTGAAGTCCGACGAAAAGACGCCTGGCGTGACAGAAACGAACCCGGCGCGACCCTCATTGGGGGCAAGTTTCCTGTTGCATGGGCGCAGTGCTTGACACTGCTTGGCGCTGCTTGGCATTGCTTGGCCGAGGGACCCGGGGGACCCGAGGAATCGCCGGGCAGCGGGCGACGTGCCCCCCCGAGGCACCAGTCTCCTGAACCGCGCAAGAACCCCTCGGGCGAGCCCAGCTGGGGACCCAGACACCCTCGAGTAATGAAAAAATCATGACGGGAGGTTTTTTGTAATTTTCGGCCTTTGGAGGCCCTCACCGAGCCTCGGGACCGTCAAAAAACGACTCAGGATGAAAAACCGGTCCCGGGGAATGGGTCGAGATCTCTGGGGGTCGACGTCATGAAAAAATCATGACGTCGGGGGTCTGGGAGGGCCACCGCCGCTGGGCGTCCGGCGCTGCGTCACCGGGGGGCGATAACTAGGGGGGCGAAAAGGATGCCTCTCCCTCGCGCATTGTGGGGGCCCTCAGGGGGCTCCAAGGGGCCCCTCGCGACGACGTCGCCGGCAGCGGCCCGTGTGATCCGACTCGGGAGCCTTGAGACGGGGGACCCATGCACACGGGGGTCAGCCAGAGCGCCCGATCTTGCAGGATCCTGCAGGGCCAGGGTCGCACTGACCTGGGCTTGGGTGCAGGATCCTGCAGGATCCTTCGCGTGGACCCGGGCTTGGGTGCAGGATCTTGCAGGATCTTGCAGGATTCTGCAAGGCCTGATTGACCTGGGTCCGGATACAGTCGAGGCGTTGACCTAAGGAACCCTAAATGAGGAGCGAGGCGCCTTTTCCCCATAGGTTAAACTTCGATTTCCCACGGAAAACCTAAGGAAAACCCAAGGCAAAGTGTACAAACAATTCAGGAACACCGAGCCCCTCCCAAACGAACAGGTGGGAACCGGGGGGGAAGACAAAAACCAGAAAATATAGGGAAAAATATGGGGAATCCTGCTATTTGCGTGTCTTTCTTCGTGTGCTCTGGGGCCCCTTCAAGGATCCCCGACCGACGCTGCGGGCAGATCGCCGCGCCGCGCAGAGTCGCTGCAGGAGCTGCAGGCCCCGGCTCCCGCGGCACCTCCCGGGGGGGGTCCGATGCGCGGCGGCCCCCGTCTGCCCGGAGCTCGGCGAGCGCACGCCCACGCTCGGGGGCAGCGATAGATCAGGAGGGGAAAGAACACACAGACACAATTAATCGGCGACTCCAAGAAAATGTGGGAAAATATGGGAAGTGGGGGGGAAGACAAAAACCCAGAAAATGTAAGAAAATATGGGGGGTAGTTTTATTTGTGTGTATCTATTTGTGTGTCCCAGTTCCCCTTCAATAGAGTCGGGGCCCTGAAGAAGGAACCCTTTTGGTTGGGGAGGGGCTCCGCGTTCCTGAAGTGTTTCACAGCTTGCCTCAGGTGTTCCTTGTGTTTTCGGTGGGAAGTCGAAGGTCCACTTGTGGTGAAAAGGGGCATCGTTCCTCATGTAGGGCTCCTTGGGTCAAGGCCCCGACTGTAGGCACAGGGGGAAAGCCTCGACCCCCAATCGCACACTGATCTCGAAGAAGAACAAGCGCCATAAATATAATCTTTGGGCGCTCCGCGCGGGAGTTCTTGGATCCGCGCTGGGCCCCCCCCTGGCGGCGCCAGAGGCGCCGCCAGGGGGGGGGTTCAGCGCAGATCCAAGAAATCCGCTCGGAGCGCCAAAAGGTTATGTTTATGCAGCTTTTTCTTCCTGTATGATCGCCGATCGCGGTTCGATGGCCCCAACCCGCCCAGGAAGGTGCGGATTCACGATCGGGGGCCTATCGCAGATCTATCGACGATGTGTCGTCGATTCCAGGTCGATGCAGCCCTCCCTTATGCCAGTCCCCCACTATCATTGCCCCTCACACGTGTGCAAAAATTGCAGCGCACCGATCTCGGGGTGCGACGATCTCTTGGTCGTCACGCATTGGGGGGGGCGACAAATGGGGGGGCAGCGAGGGCTGCAGAAACGGTGCCCTCGAGGTCTCAGAAGAGGGTCTTGAAGGCCCGAAAAGTGCACCTTCCTTCTCCCACATTTATTGCCCCTCCACGAATTCACGCCCAAATCTAGGCCGTCTAGATGGGGTCGGATCAGATGGCAAACACGATGCGCACATTGTCCTTGCCCGGATCGAAAACAACCCAGCTAGCAGCACCCAGCGATGGAGAGAAGATTGACACTCTACTCACATGCGGTGGTCTCGGCCGTCTGTATAGAGGCCTCTAGACGACGACGACGACGACGACGACGACGACGACGACGACGACGACGGCGAGCTGGCCCCGCGGAGGTCGGTCGCCTCCAGGTTACCGCAAACGGCGAGAACGGCTGGGACTCGCGGCTGCACCACCACGAGACGGTCCTGACGGTCTGGCGCGGGAATTCCACCCTTCAAGGGGGCGTTGCGATGATGATTGCAAGGTCTTCCTCCTCCTCCTCCTCCTCCTCCTCCTCCTCCTCTGTTCTGGTCCTCCTCTCTCCCCTGTGTCGTTGAGGTGAGGTCGTGTTGTCTTCCTCCCCCTGCTTGGGAGCCGTGCTCGCCCAGCGCGTTCCCCATGGAATGGGCACGCGAGAGGGCCAACAGCCGTTCCCCCCGCACTGACCCGTTGGGACTCGCACTCGGAAGGTAGCGAGCCTCTCTTACGGGGCCTCCTCGGAGCTCGCCCCCTAGAGCATCGGGGCACGCCCCCTGCCGGCCCCAGGAGAAGTTTGGGTTTGCGGCAAATTTTCACTCGCAGGGGATTTTGCAATTCGCACACCACAGCTCCTTTGCGGGCCTTTCGACGTTGACGCCATGTCCTGTCCTGTCCTCTGTTCTGGTCTCTCGGTCACTCTGCCGGGCCCTCGTTCGGTCCCCTCGTCGGCGGTGTTCCGCTCGGTCCCTTCCTCGCTTCTGCGGGTGGCGATTAGCGCGCTTGGTACACTGCAGGTACATGCGCGTGCGCACCACTTGAGAGAGGCAGTTCAAATCCAGTCTTGTCTGACAGCCGTGTGCAGCAGCAGCTCCTCCTCCTCCTCCTCCTCCTCCTCTTCCTCCTGCTGCTCCTCCTCCTCCTTCTTCCCTGAGATCCAGGCGTGGTAATGTGTTCCCCTCCTCCTTCCGTGTGATCTGGGCGCAGCATCTTTCCACAACCAGCGATTATTCCTCGTTTCGGGCCCAGGTACCCTCACATATCGATCCTGGTTTACAACGTATTCAGAAGATGGGATATGGGTTTCGGGTCGAGCTTTTTGGCGATGTTGCAATTCAATGTTTCGCACTGTCGGATCTCAGGGTCCGGGGAGCCTTCCGTAGCGGTGGCTCGGGAGCTTTGGGACGAGGGTCAATGCAAATGGGGGTCAGCCAGGGCACCAGATCCTGCAGGATCCTGCGAAGACCCCCTCTGGCTGACCGGGTTAGCGAGCCGCTCGTGGCCGCGAGGCGGCCGCGCATATTGGTTGACCCGGCTTTGCAAAGATCTGCGTTGCAGTTTTTTGTTCCTGCATTGTAGTTTTTGGTTGCCTGCTGACCCGGGTCTGGATTGACCCGGGTCAGAAGATCCCCGAGTGGCCCCCGTTCGGCTGTGCCCCGCTGGGCGCTCCAGGCAGGCCAGAGCAACGGTTGTGTCCGCATCCGTATGCCTTGCAGCGGAGTTTGTTTATGCATGTTGCTGCTGTCGGCCGCTATTTTCGTGATTTGGCTTTGATATGCTTACCCTGTCAGTGTCCTTCTTCTCCTATTTCTCTTCTTCCTCCTCATTACGTTTCTCCTCCTCCTCTTCCCCCCCTCCTCCGCCTCTTCCTCCTCCTCTTCCAGTGGGCTCGATCCTCCTGCTTCCCTTCTCCTCCCTCAACTGCGTCACGGATTGACGCCAGGTGGTTTTCGAAACGTGTCTCTCTCCTTAACGCCGCACACACTCTCGTTTTAAGTGTTCGCAAGAGATTCAAGGATGGAGGGCAGGTGGTTTTCAAAATATGGTTCTCGCCCTAGCGCCGCACACATTCTCGTTTTAAATGTTTGCAAGAGCTTCAAGGATGGAGGGCGGGTGGTTTTTAAGATGTGGCTCTCGCCTTCACGATGCGCGCATTCGCTCTAAACGCTCGCAATAGCTCACGGATGGAAGGCGCTTGTTTTGAAGTTTGTGTTTCGTCTCAGCGCCGCGCATTTTCGCACTAGCAGTTCGCAGCAGCTTTGAGGACGCTTGCGGCTGACGTCCCACACATTGTCTCCTGGCCAAGTTTTATAACCTTGCCAAGGCGCAACAGTCACGTTGATTCGCGGTGTTCACCTGGCATCACTCGGACGTGTGCATTTTCCCTTCGGCGAGGACCATCGAGGAGCATCCTTGATCATTTGGCGAAAAGACCACGCACGTAACCGAAACAAACACAGGAAATGGACGTCCGAGCGATGGCCAGCTCAAGTGCCACGAATGGCGTTCTGGCGCGATGCAGACTGGTCGGGACCCGGAAGTAACGTGAATTCGCGGCGGTGACGTCCCAGGAGTCGTGTTGTGGCACGGTTGCAGATGTTCAGAAAGTTGTTGGCGAAGGGATCATAAAGCGTCCCGAAGGGATCATAAAGCGTTGGAAGGGTTCAGGGAGAGGTAACTTGGAGGGAGGGTGTACTGCAGCATCTTTGGTGAGTCTTGCTTCTGCACCTGCCCTCCTCCTCTTCCTCCTCCTCGTCCTCCTCCTCATCATCAGCCACCCCCCATCGATCCTCGTTCCCCTCGGAAGGACCAGGAGGAGGAGGGGGGAGTGGATGGCCATCGAAGGTTAGCTACTTTTGATGGCTTGGGGCGTTTGAGCAGAACAGTTATCGAGGATCATATCGAGGAGGCGGACCGACGATCGGAGGATGAGGAGGATCGGTGGCACTGTGACACCTCTGGGCTCTTGGGAGGCCGAGGAGCAGAAGGAGGAGGCGGAGGAGGAGAACGCCGCGCCAAGAGCAACGTCAAAGCACGGAGGAGCAGGAGAACGCCGCGTGGAGCAGGAAGTCCGAGCAACGTCAAAAACGGAAGAAGAGGAGGAGGAGGAGGAGGAGGACGGGGTGGAGGAGGATCAACGGGAGACCGCGGCTCAACGACGTCTGTCTGACGCGACATGATGCAGCACAGCATTGACAAGTTTTTGACATGTTCGAGGGCCGGGCGATGCGTGTGAGCTCCGCTCATGGAACCTTTTCTACCCACCTATCCTGCTGCCGTCTCGGCTCAGGTAACGCTGGACAGTCCTACCTGACAGGGCTTGCGCCGTTCGCCCGCGGCACCTGGGAACAGGGATCTCTCCCCTCTCCCTGATCGTCCTCTGCCAACGGGCACCTCAGTAGGTTCGTCTCCCCGGTCGCTGACCTATATATATATATATGTGTATATCCACAGGCGACAGGGCAGCGGGAGCTGTCGTTGTTGCTCCGCCCCGCGCGGGCGCCGCAGCGGCGGCGGGGCGACGAGGGCGACGAGGGGCGCGCAGCGCAGGCGGAGGCCAGAGCGCGGGAGGCAAGAAGGGGGAGGAGGGGGCACACGGAGTGCAGCCGAAACCAGCTACCAGGACGGGCAAAATGGCCCGCGATGGGCTCGAGGATCGAGGCTCGAGGATCGAGCAGGAGGAGAGGAGGGGGAGGGGGGGGGAGGATCGAGGGTCGAGGATCGAGGGTCGAGGACCGGGAGCGAGGATCGAGCATCGAGGGCGGGGTCGAGGGTCGAGGGCGAGGGTCGAGGAGGAGGAGGAGGAGGAGAAGGAGGAGGAGGAGGAGGAGGAGGAGGAGCAGGAGGAGAAGGAGGAGGAGGAGGAGCAGGAGGATAAGGAGGAGGAGGAGGAGGAGGATCGAGGCTGGATTGCCCCGTGGTGTCCTTGGCTCGTGGGCGAGGGTTGAGGCTTCCCCTCGAGGAGTACGGGGGGAGGAACAGGGTCGAGGGCTCCGCGGTGGTGCTTAGACTTCCCCCATTCGCCCTCGCGCTCGCCGCCCTCGCTCTCCAGTGGAGGCCCATGCCAAGGAACACCCTGCTCGCCTCCATGGGGCCCTGGGTGTTTTGGCCTTCGATGGTTTTGCGATGGAGGGCGCGACGGTTCCACACCAAACATCCACTGGACGTCCTGTGGTCTTAGGGTTGGGTTTCTTGCGGAAGGCTTCCTGTGGAGTGGCCTCCACTGTATCACCCCTTGCGAGCGCGGCCGATGCCAGACGTCACTGCCCGCGCGCACGTCCGCAGGTGGCTCCGACACGGCACCACCACCATCCAGGGAGTACAGTCGAGACTGATGGTAAGGATGGGCAGCCTCCCCTCAGAGGAGGAAGAGATACCCATACCGCTACCCTTCCCTCGTTCTCGGCCTTCTGCGGCCTCCCGGGGAACCCTCGTCGCCACCGTTGGGTTCGCCTCGAAATTCTGGTCCGAAGGCACCCTGGGGGAGGTCCTGGGAGTAGCGGTATCGGCACCTTTTGGTTTCTCCATTCCGAAGGGTATTCTTACATCTTTGCCTTGCCTCTTCGGGCCAGCCCCGCTAAAGGGGAGCCTCGGAATGGGCGTCCGAGGGGCTTGCATCCTTACCGCGCATCTCTGCTATCAGTTTTGACTCTGGTTCAATCTAGGAACTTCGGGAGCCTCGAGACGGGGGTCAAAGCAAACAGGGGTCAGCCAGAGCGCCAGAACTTGCATGATCTTGTAGAGCCAGGGGTGCACTTATCCTGTCTTGCGTGCAGGATCCTGCAAGATCATGCAGGATCTTGTCGGATCCTGCGGGGTCATGCAAAGCTTGACTGACCCCGGTTTGGATTGACCCGGATAAGCAGATCCCAGAGGACTTACGGCCGGGGATTTTTGGTCGGCGTGCTTTTCCGCCGGTTCTGGCCCACCGCGCTTCGATGCGGCGCGCGAACCACTTCCTTGCGGCGTCAGCGTCCAGAGCTTTCCGATCCTCCCTTCCTGGGAGGCGGAGCGATACACTTTGTTTGTGTTCGATCATGAACCCCTTTGTTGTCAGGCTTTCACTCCGATGTCGTCCGAAGACCGCCGGAAGACCGCCGTCCAGGCTGCCGAAGACCGCCGAAAGACCGCCGAAAGACCGCCGAAGACCGCCGAAGACCGTGTCGGGCCCCAGCGCCCGCGGCGGGGCGCGCGCATGCTGGCGGTTTTCGGCGGTTTTTCGGCGGTCTATGCGTAGCGAGGGGTTCATGATTGAACGCGTAGCATTGTGTCCGCCTGCAGGGCACGGCGTGTGGTCGTGGCCGCCGCCGCGGTACGCTGGGCACAAGTTCTTGACCCTAGTTGTTCAGGCCCGTTCGGTGTGGATTCAGTGGGGGGTGGATGTGCGCGTGCGTGTGCGAGTGCGTGTGCAGATTAGGCTCTTGGTAAGTCAGGGTATCGGGGGGCAGGTCGTTGCCCAGCCTCTCTTTCAGACAGGAAGGCGCTCCTCAAAATTACGACCATGAACCCATTCCCTCGCGAAGAGAAGCGCTGCATGTCCGATGCGCCTTCAGTAGTTGTCGGGCGCAAGGTTCATGCCAAAGAACTACAGTCGATTTCATCCCCTCCTCTATAGGTGGTGTCCGAGCGCACTCGTCTAGAGAAACCGGGGTCTAACTGCACCTCGGAGGGGAGTGCAAAAAAGCAGTCGTGACATTGAGAGACATGGTTGTTTGCAGTCACGGCGGCTCGACATTTGGCGGCTATCCTATGGCGCCAGCCATCTCGGTTTCCAGAAGAGTATGTCTGCTTTGTGATGGATTCCTGAACTTGCCAGTCGATGGCGAGAAAACAAAGTGTTCCGCGTTGCTACGTCCGCCAGTCGAGGGCAAGCACCAACACATAAGACAAGCTGAACACATCCGCCAGTCGAGGGCCCTGCTGTGTGGAGCTGCATGCAGTGGTCTGTCGTGGCTGATCTTTTCTGGGCGAGGCCGAGGGTGACGAACTGGCTAGATTGTGGGCCAAAGCACGTGCTTGAACATGAAACTCAGCAGGCAGAATAATGTGCAGCCACAACTTTGGGGATAGGTCCACTTGGATTCTGGAAGGCGCTCGATGGGGGCTCGATGTCCCCTAGGGCCTTCCATGGGCTTTCCCTTAGCGCTGTCCATGCACATGTGTGCCATTGAGGTCCAAGAGAAACTTGCGCAAAGGACGTGGGCGTGCCAAGGCCAAGGCTTTTGGCGAGTTGTTGAGACCAGTCTTCAGCGATACTGTGGTCAAGGTACTTTGGTCGACAGTGCTTTAGGCCAGGACTCGAACAGTACCTCCATATCTCAAGGCCGTTGTCTTGAATATATGGTTTGTACCAGCTACCAGTCGGACAGACTTGTTCGTTGGTCAAGTCCGTCAGAGGCCGTGCGGGTAATGGGCGCGTTGTCGATGTTACAGGCCTGATTGCCACTGCCATTGAAGCAGGAGGATAGAGAAGGAGGAGGAGGAGGAGGAGGAGGAGGAGGAGAAGGAATCAGCAAGACGATGGAGGAGAAGGAGGAGGCGGAGGAGGTGGAGCAGGAGGAGGGAAGATGCAGGAGGATGGACGGAGGAATATGGAGGAGGATCGGGAGGAAGAGGAGGAACAGGAAGCAGAGTAGGAGTAGGAGCAGCAGAAGACCTCTGGAGGCACAAGAATCGTCAAAACATAGTGTGGTACTCTTTCCTCCTATGGGTGCTACGAGCCCCACCAAGTGCAATGCATCGATTTTGTAACGCACTCGAGGAGCTAGGGCGAGTTCAGATTTCGGCCTTTCAGGAGCCTTCACGTGTCGCTGATGAGCGTGCAGTGCCTTGCCTCGTCATGGGAAGTCGTATCTCCAAGCTGCTCCGCTCCAGGCGTTGTTGCCTCTCGTAGCTCGGAGACATTTTGGCTACGATAGTTCGTTGCTCTGCTTCCTCTCGTTTTTCGGAGGCCCAGGAATTGATGATGCTGCTGATGATGATGATGATGATGATGATGATGATGATGATGATGATGATGATGATGATGATGATGATGATGATGATGATGGTGATGGTGATGATGATGATGATGATGGTGGTGATGATGATGATGATGATGATGATGATAATGATGCTGATGCTGATGCTGATGGTGAGGATGATGTGTTACACGTGAGATCCGCGAACTTCAATTACCGTCTTCGCCGTCGACTCCTCCCTCCTCCCTCCTCCCTCCTCGTCGGCAGCATGGCAAGCGACACCACCACTGCAACCAGCGGGCAACCTCCAGAGGGGAGGCCCACGATGCCTCCCGGGGCTGGGGCTCGGGGGGTGCCTCGATCGAGACGCGGCTGGCAGAGCCGGAGGGCCTCCTGTTGTCTCCGGGGGGGAGGAGGAGGAGGAGGAGGAGGAGGAGGAGGAGGAGGAGGAGGAGGAGGAGGAGGAGGAGGAGGAGAGGAGGGGAAGAGGGGGAGGAGGAGGAGGAGGAGGGAGGAGGAGGAGGAGGAGGAGGAGGGAGGAGGAGGGAGGAGGGGAGGAGGAGGAGGAGGAGGAGGAGGAGGGGGAGGGGGAGGGAGGAGGAGGAGGGGGAGGGAGGAGGAGGAGAGGAGGAGGAGGAGGAGGAGGAGGAGGAGGAGGAGGTGGAGGAGTAGGGGGCGGACGAGAAGGAGGAGTCCTCGCGAGGCTCGTCGCGGTGCCGACCTTGATTTGCGCCTCGCTCCTCGCTCCTTGGGGCTGGGAGGCGGAGGGGCGGCGACCGTGACCCTCTTCGGAATAAGGGTCTGGCGTTCAGTGGGGCGTGTATCTCTTCAGGAGGAATATTAATCAAGAGTTGTAAAACAATCGTCTAGGGACGATGTTTCGATTAGGTTTGACCATGTTCGAGCATGTTTAGCCTATGGCTTATATAGTTTTTCTTCCAAGATCCGCCTGTAGGAGGCCATGCCCGACCTCAGTCTGGCGGCCGGGAGGCCCTGCAGTCGAAGCTGCAGAGCTTCGAGGAGTACACCAACAGGATCGATGATGCCGTCAGGCGGCGCCGCGCCCCCCTCGCCTTGGAGGCAGGCTCCGTAGTCTAGGTTTCCCACATGGGGTTGGAGTAGATGGGGTCGGAGCATCGCGCCGCATCGCCGATGCATCTGCGATGCGGCTCGATGTGGAGCCCGATTCTCTCCATGCCGTCGTCGCGGATGCATCGCCGACGTCGCCGGTGCATCGGCGATGCGTCGCCGATGCATCGGCGATGCTGCGCAATCCTCCGACCCCATCTACTCGGACCCCATCTTGGGGGCCTTCAGGGAACGGCGCATGGGGTAGGGTTCCCACGCGTCATCGTTCTTTCTTCCACGGTTCGCCGATCGGCTCGGGCCCCTGGCTGGTTTGGCTGCTCTGGGCGGCCAGATCTTGGCTGGCTCGGGCGGCCAGCTCTTGGCCGGTGTGGCTGGTTTGGGCGGCCAGATCTTGGCTGCTTTGGGCGGCCACTTCCTGCGATTGGTCGGGCCCCCTGCCCCCAAAAAAATCTGCGGGCGCCCGGGTCAGCGGCAGATCGACCGAGCACGGGCCCAGGCACGGAGCGCCTGGGCCCGACGTGCATGCTGCGGCGGAGGGAGGAGCAGCTGCCGGGCATGCGTCACTGCCCGGGGGGGGGGGGGGTCAGGAAGAGGTGTTGAGACAGTGGGTGCAGTAGTGAGCGTCAACAGTGTAACGCCGTGCTTCTGCTTGCTATGACGGGGGTGTCGACCTGTGACGCAGGGCATGCTAGCCAT